CTAGGGTTAACCCTGGTGTTTAATTAATTTATACTCCTGAGCACTGAGAGGTTTGTTGACCCTGGCCAGGACTCTAACTTCATTGAGTAATGAGTAATGAACGTTTGCTCTATTTACATGTATCCTTACTTGCAGAGTACATGCTTTTGAACCTAAGCATGCTCATACATGTAGTGATGTTCCTGTTTTGTAATTTCATTTACAGCATCTGTTGCAAGAGATGGCTTGTTGGCTTTTCTGGATGAGGTTGGTGCTCTTCAGCATTCAGTAAAATACATTTCCACAAGTACATGTAAAAAAAAAACCATGAATACCTTATAATATCGTACGACCAATGTTGTTCTTTTTAAATGTGACGATGCTGTTTTTCTTGAGTGAATCACTTCTTAATACTGTAAGTGATTGTCCTGGGTCTCAAGATCTGGTTCTAAGTATACATTGATCAGAGCTTTTATTCAGTACAGCCTTGAAATGAAACTATAGTGGAGCTCTGCTTTTAGGCTTGGCTAAATCTATATATTATCATAATTATAACATTGTAGATGTTTGTAATCTCAGGGCATTGAAAAGGTTTTGTTTTCTTTTTTGGTTATGATACTTTCATACATGCATTTTATGGATTATGACTAGAGTGTAGTTTATTATATTGGAGCAATAAAAGTTGTGTTGGTAAGTTCCACACACCCTTTGGATCAGACAGGAATCTGAGTGCATTTATTGATTTTATGATTGTAGCCAATGGAATCAGAACCTGGGACACCATTCAGACCACGCAGTGCTAGGCTGGTAGCTGCTGCCACACTACCAGAAGTTGAATTCTATTTTCACTTGTTAGTTCTGATTCATCTCATTGATACAGAGTGTTACAATGAGGTAAGTTCAACATTTTGATTTTAACCTTTATAGTATTTTTACCAGTTGGTGTCCGTTTGTCCAACAAACAGCAGTACATGCACAAGTACATAATTTACATTGATAGCCTTTAATATGGCCACACAGGCCTACACTGATGTGAGAAGCACACTGTATACAACAGGATACTGCATGAGCCATACATCAATGCTGATCTGTTTTTACAGCACATTATGTACATGCAATACTGAAAGTCTGTTACTATGTTTTCACTGTTGGTGACTAATGACCAGTACCATTGATAGCTGCACTCAGTGGATATGTGAGACAAACCACTGTTGGCTGTCAAAGAAAGCTACTTTTAGACAACAATTTATTAACATTGCTTGTGTTGGACCTGTTCACTCTCCTTGAATAAATCGGTTAAGTGACTTGATTCAGTGCCTATTTTATCATGTCCTCTCAAGCTCAATTCTTTTACTATTTGAAGAAGCCTGGTAATCAAAACCGTGCCTTAATGCTCTTGGTTTTTTATATGTTATATTTGCACTACAACCAATGACAGTAATTTTTCCTTTTTAGGCAGTTCAATGTTCTGAATTGCTGATGCAACGATCTTTAGGACACAACAGAAGGACGTTAGACCCTCTACTGGCCAAATGTTACTTCTACCATTCCCGTGCTTATGAACTGGTTGACAGACTAAATGAGATCAGAAGGTAAACTAAGAAGTAAAATCCATGATGAAGGTGGAATCTGAGTGAAGCTTGTTATGTGACATTCATTGTAAATTAGGGAGAAAGATGATGATGCAATCACAGGGGGCTAACACAACAGGCTAAGAATGCCCACTGTTACAGATGTCTGTGCAGCTTTTTTGAGAAAGCTTGTCCTAGTCTAGAGAAAAGTGCATGTAAAAGCATACATGACAATGCCAAAAGGTATTATTATTACGGTCAGTGGTAGTTCTCAATTGCTTGATTAAATTTTGTGCTGTAAGGATCTCTTAACTTACTTCTTTTCAATGGTCATTATGACTGGCACAGTGTACATCATGATGTATAGATGGCAAATTTACATGGATGTGCTTTTCAATTTCTTGTCACAGTTTTTTACTCGCCAGACTTAGGACAGCCACTCTGAGACATGATGATCAAGGACAGGTAAGTGTTTATATCAGGAGCGAACACAAGACTACAAATCAACAAAAGAAAAACCACCTAGGTTTACTTGGATATTAGATTGTACTTCACAGTCATTTTGAACTTACATTAATGTACATAAAATTTACCAAATGATCACTACTTGACAGTAATTATTAATCTGCAAGATCAAGGTTTTTGTTGGTGATGAGTGAAGCCTTTGCCAATAAGCCTGGAACACAACTTTTTCTTAAGAGGTGTTATTGTTATACTTTGGAACTGCATGTTGGCTTGTAATGTTTGTTTGTTTTTTCTTTCTTTCTTGTAGGCCATTCTTTTGAATCTTCTCCTAAGAAATTACCTTCATCTAAACTTGTTTGATCAGGTACAGTAAGTCAAGCAACTTGCAGCATTAAAAGGTTACTGTATCTGACACTCGTACCCTGCTCTCAGTGTTTATAAAAATAATGAGTTTTAAGACCAGTCCTTTGAGTAAGTTGCTCAGTGAGTGAGTATGAAACTCTGTAAGCTGTGAACACCAGAATTTCACAGTAACAATTTGAAACATCACAACTATGTCGTGAAATGTTACTTGACTATGTTACATGTAATTCAACCACAAAAAGATCCAAAGACCAGACACCCATCTGGCTAAAGGGCTGTCTAAAAATATACTGTGTTCTTATTTTGTTTTTCTAACTCTTTGAATGTAGGCAGAGAAGCTTGTTTCCAAGTCATCCTTCCCAGAGTCAGCAAGCACAAATGAATGGGCAAGATTTCTTTATTATACAGGTCAGTTCACTAAGCATTTATGGCAAGTTAAACAAAACTAGCTGGTATTATTCCCACATAATATGGTGGATCATATGCACCAGCGTTGTGTACATTTGCGAGCAAGTGTGCATTTTGGGCATTTACAGTAATTGTCGATTCATGCTCATACTGATTCACTGAAAATGGGTCTGTTACAGGTAATAAAGTCATCCCTTCTACTCAAGTTGTGCAGGAGAAAAGAGCTTTCTAATGATACCCAGATCTGAGTGTTTGAGTTAATTGAGCCTGAAATATATGTACCAAAATGCTTAGAAATTTGAGTGAAAAACTCAGAGAAAAAGTTTCCTTAACTACACTTGGCTACTCCATGGTAAGAATTTCCTGTCCTGATGATGCTTTCTCAAGATCTAGAACTAGAAGCAAGCCCAGCAGAAGGTCAAAAAGTGCTCTATGAGCAAACTTGTGAATCTGATAATTGTGCATTTGAAGACATTTTGTAAGGGCTGATTTAATTGTCACTTGAAGATCTATGTATATGGCATAATAAACTTAGGAACACCCAAAAAATAGCAGCAGGATTGGGAGCTGGGTTGGTCAGGCAGTGAGAAACAAACAGACCCATGTTTATTGTGCACGCTTCGATATTTTGTCCTTGTTTTTCTCAGAAACAAAGCGCAAAACAGCCAAAAAAAATACAGGGGAATGTTTTACTACTAAATTGAAAAGCACATGCAAAAATTCAGGCACTTTTGAAGAAAAAAAAATTTCACCCGAAAAAGTCACTTACGTCAGTCTTGCACCAAGCCATTCATTTATAGTGGTGGCCATTGGTTTACAACTGTGGCTCCTTGCCTCTCTATAGGTATTATCAAAGCTATTCAACTGGACTACTCCGAGGCTCATAAAAACCTCCTGCAGGCAATAAGAAAGGCTCCACAACATTCTGGTTATGGATTCAAGCAAACTGTAAGTATATTCCACAAACAGACGTGCTTTGTTCTTTGTGTTTCTTGAAAATATTTTTTCTTACATTGTACACACATGCTCTCAGTGCCTTTCTGGATCAACTGCTTCTTGTTTATATAACTTATTTGTTACAAAAGGACTGCACTTGTGGTGTAATCACTTACAGGCACAATTATCTGATGTCCAATTGACATAATTGTACTCTCAACAAAGGCAAAGCACAATGAAAAACATAGTGCAACCTAAAATACATTAATTTACATCTTAGGTAATTTGTAAAACCCAAGCATTACTTTTTACTGCTGTCTTGTTACCTGCTTAAGTGCACAGACATAAAAACATTGTTTTTGACTTTTGATCTTTTGTCATTTCTTTAACTTGTGACTGTTTGAAATAAGCTTTCCTCAGTACTTCCTTGTCATTATGTCCTTTCAGAATTGCAGTTGCAAATACTAGTGTTTAATGTTGGGCTTTTTTTTCTTAAAACTGCTTTTCTCTTGTGGTCAACAGTAAACTATTTTGAATGTAATTTTTGCTAGCTTTCAATTTACTGCATATTTGAGCCAAACCCATTTGATTTCTACAGTAGGCTGCTCAGCCCTTGATTGTGACATTTCTGTTCCTTTTCAGCTATTCTTTATATTAGGCCTCTTTGTTAGTAAGAAAGTTCTACAACTTGAAAATGTTAACTGCTGTTGTGGATCTTCTTTTTAGGCACAAAAGTTTGCTATTGTGGTTCAACTGCTTCTTGGTGAAATACCTGACAGAGCCACTTTCAGGGAACCATTCCTTAGAAAAACTCTTGTTCCATACTTCCAGCTTACTCAAGGTGAGTTTAATCTGGCACCCAATTACTATAACAAAAATTAACCAAGGGATTGAATGTTTTTCTTGTTACAGTTGACTAAACACTTAATAATCTTATCATAATGATATTAAATTAATTTTTATCAAGACATCCAATGTTATTACAGTATTCAGTAATGGAGCTTCTTCTTTCGTATACTTACTGTTGTATTTTAAAAATTGATTTAAAGAAGGCAGATAAACTTAATCCAAGACTGGTGTTCATCTCATATTTGGTTCAAACACTTTCAGAGACATTAGTATCATTGTGGATAAGTATTAATCAAATTTTACAGGAGTTGTGTCATGGACAGAGCAGCTTGAAGACATTGGCAATTTTTTTCAAATTGTTCTTTTGTCATCATCCATGTTTAATGTTATTTTCAGTTAACTCCTTTGGTGTTTCTCTATGTTAGAAACCCATTATTTTGATGTTCCCTTCAATTTAAAAGTAATTTTTTCATCAGAAAAAACAATTTTAAATATTGTGACATTTAGAGCCCAGCGTTATTTGTTCGGTAGTCTAATGTTTAATACACTGTACTTAATAATTGGAGATTGATAATTCAAGTCCTGCCATTGCTCTTGTGTTGTGTTCTTTGGAAAAACAAAAACAATAATCCTGCTATTGCAGTGCCTCTCCCCACCCAGCAACCTCACAAAATATGGGATGGTACACTGTAATCTGTAAGAGTGAAGAGTGCATTCCATCCAGGAAGGGGTAGACTACAAGTAGTCCCTCTCTTGCTTACTCTGTTGTTGGTGACATGAAAGAACATGGCGAGAAAAAAATGACTGTACAAGATCCTGGGGGAGATTTCATGTGGCTTCTTTTTTCTCTCAATTTATTAACAGTTGTGCTCAACAGAGACTACACAAAGTCTAGGGGAGAGGGGAGTGGGGAGGGGGAACAGCAGTAATCTTAGTACCCATTGATAATTTCTGGCACTGAAGAGCTGTCAGACTTCTCCATTTTCTGGAATACACCTTTAGAGTTTCTGTCTACAACCAGGTATAGTAATCTTTGGGATTGTAAATATTGATAGTAATCCTTACTAAGTAAAATGTATTATGTATGTCATGTTATCTAAAGTGATTTTTGTCTCCCCTTGTCAGAGTGTATGAAGATTGTGCTCATGAGGTACACTTTGGGTGGGGAGAAACAGAAATGCTGTACATGTATTACATAACAAAGGGGCAGGAGAATATTTTTTCTAATTGCCTTGTTCATCAATGCATACAGCTACATGTACTTAAAATTAGAGTCAAATAAAATAAACACATACCGGTATTCAAGAAATTAAACCATGGCCAGACGGTGAAATAACTTTAATTTCATGTATATTGCATGTATATAACAAAATTTTATATATTTGATATCTGAACTCTGTGTATTTTAACTTGTTATACATTATTTTTTTCATTAAAATATCTTTCTCTTTACAGCTGTGCTGAATGGAGACTTGAAGCTTTTTAACCAAGTAATAGACAAGTTCAAGGAGAAGTTTCTTTCTGAGAAAACATATACACTCATTATCAGGTTAATATCTTGCTTGTTCATGACATCATGTTTGTTTTCTTCATTTGTCTTAATCATCAGTGTGCTGTTTATGGAGAATAATATTAATTAGGATTGTTTGATATTGATTATCAGGTTGCGGCACAATGTGATTAAAGCTGGAGTTCGGATGATCAACCTGTCATATTCACGTATCTCTCTAACTGACATTGCACAGAAGCTTCAGTTGGACAGTCCTGAAGATGCTGAATTTATTGTTGCCAAGGTAGCAAGCAATACATTGTGTCAATAACCAGTAGATATTTTTGGTGGTTTTCTGTAAACATCCAAGTCAACAAAGAGCAAGCAATAGCAACTAGTTTTGGCTGGTGGTTACTTTGTGTTTTGATTTCTAGAGACTGTAGGTTAGTAGGGTGTTTACAGTGGGCTTAACCAGTTTAAATGATGGTCTTCTTTCCAGGCAATTCGTGATGGTGTCATTGATGCTACAATAGATCATGAGAAAGGTCATGTACAGTCTAAGGTATGGAATTCTTTCTCCATCCTTCACTGCTAACACATGCTTCAGTGTACATTAGCATAAAGGAAGCATTTCTAGTAGCAATTTTCGTAGTTGATTTTGAGCAAGACTTTTCTCACGTGAATATCGTAGTGCTCGAAAGTAAGTTTCCATCCTCTCAAGAGGTGCTTCTCATTTCTCTCAGGGATTCTTTGACAATTAGGTCCACAAATGGCAGAGACCGTTAATGCAAGAAAACGTTTACACTTGTACCAGTTGTTATTATCTTACATTGGGCAGAAGTTTTATTTTGAGTGGGTTGTCAAACAGCGGCAGTTATTGAGCATGATAATATGTAAATTTGTGCCTTCTCACTTCAGGAAAATGTGGACATCTATTCCACTAATGAGCCACAAGGGGCCTTTCATCAGAGAGTTAGCTTCTGCCTGGATCTTTATAATCAGTCTGTCAGGGTATGTCCAACAATAACACATGCAGCTAATGAGAGCAAAAACAAGTGAATTGATTCATGTATATATAAATATGTTTTGTTGTCTTGCTGTTCAGTATAAAATAACGTATAATATGGTACCATGGCAAGCCAGGTACTGTCTGAAATAAATTAAAGAAGACAAAATAATGGAAAAATTATTTGATGTTGCTTTTTTTCTTTTTTTCTTTTTTTTTTTTGAATCCAGGCCATGCGATTTCCACCCAAGTCCTACAGCAAGAATTTGGAGTCACTAGAGGTACTGTACTGTTGCTGTCATTTTTCTTCCCCTGGGGAGATACACCCGATTTTGCCAGAAGGTGTCTACTTCTTGCAGGAAGTCAATATTGCTCATGCTGACAAAATTGCATAAGCAACATCAAGAACTGAATGGAAACAAGTTTCAGCTCTGAAATCACATAAAGCCAACTTAGTATATGTTCAGTGATCATTTCAAAAAGCTTTCAGACTTGTGTTTAAACCAAGGACCCCACTCTGTCATTTGACAACCACATTTTAGCGACAGTTTCATCCTGTATGAGTAAATTAGCCCAGATTAATCGAGCAAAGCATGCATTTAACTCTGGCCTATTAGTGACTGTCATCAACGCGCTCGTTTTCATAGACTACGAGTAGTCCCTCTTTCGCTTAGTCCGTCATGCGTGACGCGAAAGAAAATCACGAGAAAAAAATGGCCGCACGAAATCCTGGCCCCCAGGATTTCGCGTGGACATTTTTTCCTCGCGAATTTCTTTCGCGTCACGCACGACGGACTAAGCGAAAGAGGGACTACTCATAGTCTATCGTTTTCAGTAAGTTGTACTATTGCTCTACTGTATGGTCCAGTACCACTGCTTGTAATGTGCAAAAACTTCAACTCGTTCAGAACTTCGCTGCT